TTGGCGAAGTCTAGGTATAGAACCATCTTGGAGTCTTTGGCTCTAAATTCACCGTTCATCTGACTTGCTACCAGGAGGGAGTCACAGAATACCTGCAGGTTAGTAACACCTAGGTCCTTTGCGAGATTCATACCTGCAATCAACGCTTCATATTCTGCCTCATTGTTAGTAGCTTTGAAATCACAACAAATAGCTTGTACCATCATGTCCCCCTGTGGCAACTTAAGAACTACACCGAGACCTGCACCTCGAAAGTTAGATGAAGCATCTACATAGAGTATCCAGGTACCTGGGTTATGGACTTGGTTGATCTGTTCAGATTCTAAGGCGGCTTGTTATTCAAGATCAGGGCTAAAGTCAACCACAAAGTCGGTTAGCACTTGTGATTTGATAGCTGTTCTTGGTTCGTATGTGATACCAAATCCGCTGAGCTCAATTGCCTATTTGCTCATTTGACTTGTTAACTCTGGTCTGCATAAAACAGCCTTCACAGGGTAGTTAGTTTTCACCACTATTGGGTGAGTTTCAAAATAGTGGCAAAGTTTCCTGCTAACTACAATCAGTGCTAATACTAGTTTTTCAAGAGAGGAGTTCCTGGTTTCAGCACTAAGGAGAGTTTTACTTACGTAGTAAATAGGTAATTGCTGACTTTCAGCTTCCCTTACTAAGACAGCACTAACAGCTTGGGTGTTGACTGCGAGGTAAAGCTGTAAAGACTCTCCCTCAACAGGTTTAGATAACAAAGGTGGCGTCATTAAATACTGTTTAAGGTCCCGTAGGGCCTTTTCGTGATAATCAGACCAAGTGAAACATTTATTTTTCTTTAGGACGTTGTAAAATAGGTGACATTTATCTGATGACCTCGAAATAAACCTATTTAATGCAGCTACTCTACCTGTTAATTTTTGCACCTCTTTCAGGTTTCTAGGTGATTGAATATCAATTACAACGCGTACTTGGTCTAGGCTAGCTTCGATTCCTCGTTGAGTGACTATGTAGCCCAGAAACTTACCTACATCTACTCCGAACGAACACTTGGATGGGCTCAGCTTCATTTTATACTTCCGGAGGATGCTAAACGCTTCTTCCAAATGGTTCACATGATCAACTGCTTTCTTGGAATTCACCATCATATCATCGATGTAGACTTCCATGATTTCCCCCAGTTGGTCTTTGAACATTTTGTTAACTAGCCTCTGATAGGTTGAACCTGCATTCTTCAAACCAAACGACATTACTTTGTAGCAGTAGATTCCTTTATCTGTCATGAAAGCCGTCATTTCTTGGTCGTCCAGGTGCATCAAGATCTGGTTATAGCCGGAATATGCATCCATGAAGGTGAAGAGTTTGTGTCCAGCTGTTGCATCTACCATGGAATCTATATGAGGGAGCAGGAACGGGTCTTTGGGGCACGCTTTATTCAGGTCTGTGAAGTCGATGCAGACTCTCCAGGTTCCATTCTTCTTGCTGACGACAACCACGTTAGCTAGCCAATCTAGATATTTAATTTCCCTTATCTTCCCGGTATCTAGCAGCTTCTGAACTTCTTCATTGATGATCTGATTACGTCCTGGGGCGAATTTACTCCTTTTCTCCTTTACCGGCCTTACGCTGGGATCCACATTCAACTTATGGTGATGATTTCGGGGCTGATTCTGACAGGTTAATAAACGCGTCGTCAAGTTGTCTATCCCTAGATCAAATACAATTTATACAACCTAAACAAACCTAATACGAGTATAAGGCAAGCATAGGGGTCGAACCACAGGGAACGGATAAACACCACCAAATGTTATCGACAATTACGCTAGTCCGGAATAGGAGATAAATAAACTAAAGTCTAAAGATGCTAAAACAAGAAATAAAACATTAAGGGAAATGGTTTAGGTATAACGTTCACTTGAACATAAACAAAGGTATAGAAATTGAATTAATTATGAACTAAACATGCTTGAATATCGAAGTAAAGGATCCAATCTAGCCACCTTCCGGGGTCAATTGGCTTCTCCTAACATAGCCTCTATGTTTCCACATTAGAACCATACACTAGGAGGTACTATTAAATAACAACCGATAGTAATGAACCTTAACTAAGTTAACTTCCGTTCCTTGTTAGAAAAGATTCACCTTTAATCAACCAACAATGTGCACTTGCAAGAAGATTAAAGAAAATCAAGCATATAAAGACTTTAATCACAAATAAATCAATTCTAAACCCTAGAACATGCTCAAGATCCAACTACACCACAACCATCCCCTTAATGGGGAAATTACTTAATAATCATGCTAATAACAATATTAATTAACAAATAATCAAGAATAAATGATTACAAGCAATACCAACAACTAAAATAATAATCAAAATAAAGCAAATAAAAATAGAGGAGAGAGAGTTAGAGATTCTCATTGATTGAATGTGAAAATCTACAATCAACATGATCAATCTTCCTCTTCAATATCCAAGCTCAACAATGGTGAAACCCTTACTTTCTCTCTCTAAACTACTCTAATTCAAACCTAAACCTAGAGAGAGAAGCTTTCCTAAAAACTAATTAGAGAGTTGAATAAAATGGTAATTGTTTTTTCTTCCTCCTTCTAATTACCCCAAAATTGGGTATTTAAACTAAGCTAAGATTACTAAGTAAGTAAAAGAAAATAAAAGAAAGTAAAAAGGAAAGATAAAATAAGAAAACTAATTACAAAAAAAAAAGAAAGAAATAAGAAAAGGGAAACGAAAAAGAAAGTAATAAAAATAAAAGAAAAAGAAAAGGAAATAAAATAAACCCACAAATCCCCGAAAAAAACATTAGACCCCTCCTTCCTCTTCTTCTTTCGAATTTTCTTGGCTGCTTGAGCTTCATCACCACTTCACACCATCATCACCGCACATTATCATCACAAATCGAAGATCAACGGCTATCACCAAGCTTTAATTGTTTGATCTCATTAAATATCATGTGCAAGGCTCGTGAAGTGGTTTGGTCAAACCATGGGTTGGTGCGGCCAAACTACGGGGTTGGTTCGGTCCAACCATGGGTGAGTTCGACCACACCTATTCAATTTAAACAACATTAAAAGTTCCTGACTGTTTTCGACTCTTTTTGCATTTCGATCGAACTCCAAAATGGTTTACCCGAACACGATTAATTTGTAATTTCATCTGATTTTGCTCTACTTCTTGCGCGAATTGGTAGGGTGGTGGCCGGAATCGGCGCGGCTGCTGCTTTAATGGATGCTAGGCTGGTGGTGAAGTGGATGTGACTTGGTGATTGAGAATGGTGGTGCGGCTGTGACTGTTGGTAATTGGTGGTTGCGCGGAGAGGTGTATTGAGGTGGCTGGGGGTCTGGTTGTGGTCGATTGGTGGTTGATTGTGGGTTTGTGATTGGGTTGATTGGAGATGCTGGTGGCTGTTCGCAGGTGGTTGCGGGAGCTAATGAGTTGGTGTGAAATGGTGGTGTTTGCTGCAAGTTGAAGCAGTGAGGGAAGGTGCGGCATCAATTGTTATGTTAGGGTGGCGAACAGGTGATTTTAGTGGTAGATTGGAGGTGAGGGAGAATTGGAGGGCTGAAAGGGCTGCTCTGTTTAGTGAGAGAGACTGATGGAGTCGGGGAATGGTGTTAAGGGTGGCTGTAGGTGGAGATGTTGTTGATTTGTGTGGTGAAGGGTAAGGTGAAATGTGGGGTGCAGGATATGGGCCAGCAGCAAGTAGCAGTTTGGGGCAGCAGCTATGATACTTGGCTTGGACACATTTGACTCAAACCCTGAATTTCGAACTTGATTTGAACATGGAAATCGAGCGTCAACCCGAACACACCTACAACCAAAAATCAAACACGAGGGGATTATCAAAAGATAAAATTAAATAAAATAAAATAAGATAAATAAAGTAAATAAAATACTAAAACTAAAGAAATAATAAAATTAAATGAAATAACATAAAATAAAGAAAACAAACTAGAAACTAAAAGAAAATAAATAAAAAGAGAGAAATTAGGAATTATTAACTAAAAATACGAAAATAAACTAGAAACCAATTAAATAAAGAAATTAAAATAAAACATACTAAAACTAAGAAATAAACTAGAAACAATATTAAAAAGAAAACAAGAGAATAAAAGGGAAAATAAGGGAAAATAAACACGAAAATAACTCTAAAACTACTCCCTAAGAGTGACATAAATGTCACTCATCAGATTCCCTTCATATCTTGATGTGACCATGCGAAGCAATCTGAATTTTCTCTGAGGCACTTGATGATAGCTTCTTTCTGTTCCGCCGCCAATGCAGCTCCGAATTTAAGCTTTTGTTCTAGCTTTGACTCATCCAGCACGATTTCATCTAATTATAACTCATCTAGACGCTTGGGTGCTAGACTTTGTTGTAATTGCTAGATGGCAGGGCCATGAGGTTTCAGGGCGAGCTGGTAGCATTCTCGCGCTTGCTTTCTGTCTCCTTCGACTACTGCTATTCCCCATGGGCTTGGAAACTTGAGCAGCTGGTGATAGGTAGATGGGATGGCTTTCATTTTATGGATCCAAGGGGTTCCTACTATCATATTATAAGCAGTTTTGCAATCTATCACGTAGAACTTGTTCATCATGTTGATTCCTTTGAGCAGCGTTGGCACTTGGATTTCTCCCAGGGAATTCATAGGTTTGCCATTAAACCTAACTAGAACGGTGGACCTCTTGGTGGTATCTGACTCTTTGAAGCCGGCTTGATCTAGGGCGTCTTTGAAGATTATGTTGGCCGAACTCCAATTATCTACCAATACTCTTTTCATCTTGTAGTGACCCACATGGAGGGAGATTACCAAGCAATCATGATGCTCGGGCTCATTGAACCTACTCTCATAGAACACAACTGCCATATCATCTAGCTTCTTTTCTTCACTTCTTGGATAAGTTTGGGGGATGCTGGACGCTGAGGTGCCAACTATTGCTATACGCTTTGCATTGGAGTAGGTTAGACCGCTGATGCTAGATCCTCCTGATATTGCTTAAATCACAACACCTGGGGTGGGTGAAGCTGGTGGACCTAGCAAGGATTCCCTCTTGATTTCAGGTCCTTTTCCTTTCTTTCCTAGGAGGTCTTTTATATAGCCCTTCTTGAGCAGCCAGGCTACTTCTTTATTAAGACTATTACACTCGTAAGTCCTATGCCCATGATCTCCACGGTACTCGCACCATCTTGATTTATCTTTCCGGTGCTCAGGCTTGTCGCTCTTCCTAGGCCACCTCAGCGGTTGCCCAATATCTTTGAGAGCGTTCACCACTCCCACTTTATTAGTATCGAAACCATATGAGCTGATATATGGGTGGTATTCTATTGCTGGCCAGCTAGGGCTTTCACCTGCTTTTGGCTCGGATATGTTGTTGACATTGCTGCGCCTTGGCTGCCACCTACCTTGCCGGGTTCCGGAGTTTTGATTGCTGAAGGATTGGTTCCCCGAATACCTTGATGGTCTCCTTTCAACCCCATTTCTGGCATGTTCATCCTCTTCTACACGGGCTTCAGCCATTGCTCTAGTTCTAACTTCTTCAAACGAGGAGCAAGGATATCTTGTCAGCTCATAATATAATCTGGATCTGTAATTTAGACCTTTGTGAAAAGCTTCAATAGCAGTTGAGTGGTCATAGTTCTTTATGCTGACCATTTCTCGATTGAACCTATCCCAGTATTGCCAGGTTGTCTTATTCTGCTTCTGAACGATTCGATACAGGTCACAGCTTTGCTTATCCAGCTCTCGGCTGGTAGCGAATTGCTGGTAGAATTTGTTCACCAAGCTGGAGAAGCTGGCGATGGTACCTGGCTTTAGATTGATAAGCCATTGGAGTGCAGGTCTTGATAGAGTAGCGCCAAAGGACTTGCACATGGTGGGTTCAATTAGCGCCAAAGGACTTGCACATGGTTCCATCGTACATATTTTGGAAGGAGGGGATGCTCAGCTTTTTGGGAATACACACTTTAGTAATCTCCTCCACGAAGGGGGATTCAGCGAATCCATCGCGAGATTTATAAGCCACAAGTTTAGGAGCACCTGGTAGGCGGGTTAGGATTTTCATCATTTTCCGATTTTCGGCTTTAATTATGGCAACTTCCCTGGCCATAGGGTTGGGATCCCCACCAGATTGTTCCTCATTACCACAAGATCCTTCTCTCTCATCTTCACCTCCAGATTCATCGAAGGATACTAGGGTGAATTGGGGTATGTCATCGATTTTTACCCTCTTCTTCTTATTGCTCCTGACAGATTCGAGTTCCTTGGACAACTTCTCCAGGGATGCTTCAGATTCAGCTTTGAGCCTCGCTAAGGTTGCTTGAGACTCTTCTTCGAGCTTCTGGCTTCGCTCTATGGAGGCTTTCAACTCTTCTCGCAATTGCTCGGTTAATGCATTTGCATTTGGATCAGGATCTTCTCCCATGATGAAGGATAAACCGAATTATCTAACTGTATCCCCACAGACGGCGTCAAACTGTTTTTGTCAAAAAGCTGATTGCCTAGTTCGACCTGGGTTACGATAGCTACAACTAGATTAAATTGAAGAAAATTGCTAAATTGAGATCTACAAAAAGGAAAAAGGGTAAAGGGGGAGAAGACACAAGAGATGATGGCGCAGAAAACCCCAAGAACAAGGGTAAAACCTGCGGGTGGCTATGAGTCCACTAATCCACTAAGTGTTTAGGTTCAATAGATTACAATGTAGCCTACAGATTATTAATTAAACGATAATAATGCGATAATGCTATGATTGTGCGTAGTAGTAAGGCTCTTATATTTTTTTGATGCCTTTTACAATGATCATGGCTACTCTTATATAATAGGAAAGCATTCACAAGACCTTCAACGACTCTTCCACTCAATCCCTAGGAATCCGGAGTTGAGGGCCAAAGCTGCTCCTATTCTTTCTCCACGCTTCCAGGTCAAATGCCATCAAGTTTGAATTAGTCTCCCTCAACGGCCAGGGTGCTGGGAGTAGCTCCTATTTTCTCAGATAGGATTTATATCCCACTCTACTCAAAGATTCCTGGGAATATTCCTCGAGAATATGCTCAGCCTGCTTGGTTTTCGGGTGTTAGCTTCATAGCTTCCTTCAACCTATAACCCGTTAACCTGTAACCTGTAACCTGACTACCTGTAGAACATAAGAATCTTGGGATGAAAATTCTGGCACATCAATGATTACATCAACGATTCTAAACATAGTTCAATAATTCATATTCGGTCAACCCCTTAGCTTACCATTGTCTTCCCCATATAATTTAAGCTCCAACAATGGCGATTTCAAACTCTCAAAAATAAAGTTCAGATTGATAGTTTATTTCTATTTAATTGTCGTTTGTATTTGGTATTGAACTTTCAGATCTATTACTTCTCAAATTATCGTGATTATACCGCTCGTACATTTTTTTTTTTTTTGTGTTCCACCCGATTCACCCTTTGGACTAATCCAGATTTGGGATAAATTTTAGGTGATTAGGTTCTAGTCCCCCCCCCCCCCAATTATTGTTGCGGGGGATCAAACATGGGTCCTCTCTAGTATAGTCCCAATCACCACTATACCAACAATCAATTGGTTATACCGCTCATACTTTGTAATGAGCTTTATTTTAGGAAATCATTTTTAAATGCATATTCCTAATTATTAATCTTAATCTCGTTACATCTAATTGATGTATTTTTCTCCTAAAAGCCATTTTTTTTAAAGGTAAGAAGAAGGACTTTGCTAAGTGGTTATCGCTTGAGAGTAGAGAGAAGGTAAGAGAATCCCCTTTTATTCCCAAGCATTTTGTAGTTGGTGGGGTTCAAACTTGTCACCTCCCCACCGACTAAAATTATGGGATTTGGTTGCTTATATAATAAAAAGGATGAACATGTATATCGTATGGCTTTTGTTATTTTTATCTAAACATGCTTATTGTACTTTTTTTTTTTTAATTATTATATTTTTTTTATAAAAAAGCATGCTTATTATATTTATAGTGTATGCTTGATGTATCTACAGTTAATGCTTGATCGATGTATCTACTCTTAAAGCTTATTTATGATAAAGGTATGGTGGACAAAAAGCTAGATTTTATTTTAAACCACTAATAAAATCAAATCAATAAAACAATTCATCGTCTTAGTTAAATTTTAATCATGATAGATGCAAAATATAAATTATATATTTAATCTAATTAATAGTGATATATTGCAATACATTGCTTTAGTAGTACATAGTGATACGCATTGTTTAACATAGAATATTCAAACCCCTATAATAATGATCGAGTAGTCCTCATAATACTTATCGAGTAACCCCTTATAACACTGCCCAAATAACCCTATAATACTGGCAAAGCAACCTCTTTAACACTTATCAAATAACCCCTATAACACTAACAAAATAACCTCTATAATGACTGGCCACACGGTGTGGCCGAACACATGTAAGAATTTGTGATGAAAATTATATTTACTCATAAAACTCAGTTTAACTACTACTACTACTCAGTTTAACTACTACTATAGATTGATAATTAATCAGATTGAGTTTGTTGATAATCACACCAAAATACTAAGGTTCAATCTGAAATGGAAGAAAATTGCTTATCTCATAATACAAATTATACTATTTCCTCTAATAATAGCTTCATAAATAATTGAGTTCATTCATAGTTTTGAAAATTGCAAGAGTGTGATATGATATTTTTGATATTCAAGTATTATACCTTGCGGAACGCACATAAAATATTATATTGCTCCTTACAGATTTGTCGTGTAAGAATAATACTTAATTCCGTTCGAGGAATGCGCGATTGGATTGAATAATGTCGACATTGTTATTTCAAAATATCTTTGTACGTAGTCAACGTGTAATCTATGCTTAATCACAATCAAAGGATTACATGCTTTATATATTTATTAAATACTTAATCCTCTCACAACCAATCTATTACATTTATTTAGAATTGATATAGATAAAGTTGACAAAGAGAAAGAGATAGATGAAGTTTTTAATTTCCTTTTTTTTTTAATCACAATCGAAGGATTACATGCTAGGTAACTAGTCTAACTACTATAAATAGAACTAGTTGTGACTGGAACAAAATAATAAGAAGTGCAACAAAAAAAAAAAAAAAAAAAAAAAAAAAAAACGTAGTATTAAGTTTTAAGATTAAGTGTAGAAAAAATGGTGAGTGTCTCGTCTAACCTGCTGATTGCTCCCGTTGTTTTAGCAATGTTATTCTTGCTCGGTACTACAACTGGTATGTACCTATTTTATACGTTACGTACATATTTAATTAGTATGTATTACGTCTTGTATATATATTAATTCTTTCATAAATCGTAATTCTATAATCATACATATATATTATAATGAATATGAATTATGCAGCTACAATGGTTGAAAAGATGCCAACAACTACTTCCAAAGAAATGATACCTGTGATGGTAATCAAAGAAGTGGTAATAGTAGAACAGCCGAAAATCGATTATATCGGAAGCCGGAAAATGAATATGATGATTATGCAACCACATACTCGTGTGTTGGATGCTAAAAATACAAAGCAAGTCACAACCAGTAACACCGGCCAAGTTATGAAGTGTTCAAAAATAGGCGAACAATGTAGTTTTTTACTATTCTGTTGTGCAGGTACCAGTTGTGTTTCAAATTCATTTTGGGATAAGCCGGTTTGTAAGAAGGTTTAAATTTGTTCCGTACTTCGTATATCATTAAGAACCTCTCAGATGCCTCAGCTTGTACACTTGCCGAGCTATTTCTTGCCTTTGTTGTTTTTAATGTATGTACTATGTCATCAGCTACTACCTAGCTTTCTAAGCTATTAAGCTATGTGTATTATGCTTTTGTTTTTGTTTAATCATGATCATGAATAATGTATTTCTATTTTATGATGGACCCTAATAAATTGTACTGTGTGTGATTTTCAGCAGTTGTTTACAAAAATTCGTCGTTTGATTTTGGTCTTTTTTCTATAGTAAGCGCTACAGGTTCAGGATATGGTTAACAAGTTTATTATTAAAATACAAATTATCAAACTACATGAATATGATGTCGATGTTAAATTTCGAAACAATATGAAATGGACCTGGACAACCCGAATAAGGAGGAGGAGAGTTTGGTCCACAAACAAGGCTTTGGAGCTTCCACACTAAAACCAATTGGCAATAGTAGGAGTAACTCCTCTACCTTATAAAGTGGAACTACCTCTCCTCTTTCTCTAATGTGGGACACTCACAAGTGGGATACAATGAGTTTCAACACTCCCCCTCACTTGTGAGTGTCCTTAGAACTTAGAGCACACCAGAAGGTACAATATAAATCCTCTTTGGGAATGAACATCCAATAGAGGCCCCTTAACCAGTGGCTTGACAAATGCCCAGTTATAAACGGGCCAACAACAAACCTGGGCTCTGATACCATGTTAAATTTCGAAACAGTATGAAATGGGCCTGGACAACCCGAATAAGGAGGAGGAGAGTTTGGTCCACAAACAAGGCTTTGGAGCTTCCACAGTAAAACCAATTGGCAATAGTAGGAGTAACTCCTCTACTTTATAAAGTGGAACTACCTCTCCTCTTTCTCCAATGTGGGACACTCACAAGTGGGATAAAATGGGTTTCAACAGTCGAATCCTAAACCAAATTTGATCAACACCTAACAACGCTAACATTAATAAGATGCCGCTTGTCTCTACTTTTATATTGTATTGTATACACTTTCGCCAAGTTTTGTGCTTCATTCGATGTGAATCAGGACAGTGCAGAACTTGAACTTTAAGAATAAGTCCATTAAATAAATATGATAAACAGGCTCTGATCGCACCCAATACGAGTTTGTAATTTACAAGTTGTTAAGATAATGATTAGGAAATATTGTATAATATCTTTAGCATTTCTAGTTATGTTAATATTCTATCTAGTCTTATTCTTAATTAAGTTAGGGTTAGGAATATCTTGTGAAATTATATATATTCTTCAATTGTGAATGAGAAAGCTAAGCCGTTATACTTAATTTGACATGGCATCAAGAGCTAGGTTTAGGTTCCAATTTTGAAAAAAAAATCAGAATTTTTTTTCCAAACAATCGTGAGAAAAGTTCAGTGAGATGCAAAGGACGATGAACCGCAGCAGCCACCATACGTGGATTTGGATTACCACCTAAGGTCCGCGATCATCCGAGAATCATCATTACTCCGATCAAGTTGAAGGGTTCGAACTACGATTAGTGGAAGTTTGGGTTCATGGATGGTTCCATCACGGAACCGAGTGCTGATTCACCTAAGTACAAACTCTAAATTGCGATCAATTCCATGTTAGTTTCATTGAAAAACAATACTCTTGATGATGTGCTTCGATCGACGATTGAAGACTATGATGTGGTTAGTGCCTTCGATACATCTACCACAACGTTATTGTGTGGTTAGTGGGACTCCTTTATCAACTCAAACAAGACTTGGGTGCTTGCAAACAAGCATCCATCGAGTCAGTGACAGATTATTTTAGTAGATTGTCCAAGTTTTGGAAGGAATTTGTACAAGCAATATTGCAGAGTTCTACAGTGTTGTAACACCCCAATAATTCTCTCCTTAAACCTGTGGGTATCATGAACAAAATCCAAGAGAATTACTGGTTTTCTACCGCCACGTGTTCAAACGTTAAGGGTATATTAGAAATTAGCAGCGGAAAAACTAAATCAGTTATAAAGTTTCAAAACCAACAAACAAAACCAGATTAAGTCATACAACTCGGAATCATTAAGGCCCTTATTCAAAATCCAAACTAGAAGAAGTAGTATAAAAATAAAACTGAGTTTAAATTAATTCAAAGGTTAGTAGCAAATTAAATTGTGCAAAGTAACCAACACTCCACTCAAAATCCCACAACCTTCACTAGTAGAATAAACGTAATGGCAAGCGGTTCAAACCCCCTAATGGGAAGCGTTTTGAACCGCATGTCATTGGGGGGCTTGCCATTAGCCTTTTAAATGGCAAGCGGTTCAGAACCGCTTGCCATTTGTAGTGAAAGGGCAGCGGTTTTGGCGCCAAACCGCTGCCCATTATGGTATAAAAAGTAAATTTTTTTTTTAGTTTTTCCAATTAAATTGAAACACAAACATAATATATGCAAAAACATTAATATTTTTATTAATTAATTGTTGTAATATTACATTTTCATTAAAAAAAAATCAAGCATATTACAACTGATGCTGCTCTTGTTCACCAATCGTGCACATATCACCAGCCGCGCGCACCTCCAGCCGCGGCCACCAACCACCTTAACCTGTATCACCACCACCACCCTATCCCGATTCACAGTATCTGCCAAACAATAAATTGAAAAAATAAACAACAACATGTTACTTAATTTCAGATCTTTTGTGTAAAAAAAAAAAAAAAAAAAAAAAATCAGATCTTAAATTAAAAACAACAAAATTTTAAAGCTAAAAACTCGAAAATTATACACAAACATACCGGGTTCAGATCTTAAATTATACACAAACATAATATATGAAAAAACTCGAAAATTACCAAACCAGATTCCCACCCAAACAACGACCTCCACCCACGAACCTAACCCAAACAACAACCTCCACCAACCACGACCTCCACCCACGACCCCCACCCACCACGACCTCCACCCACGACCCTAACCCAAATCAAATTAAAATAAAAAATAAAACTAAAATCGAAATAAAAAATTAGAAAAACCATCGATCTAACCCGATTTTGGCTTCAAATTATGGTTTTAAAGGTCAAATTCGACCATAAAAACTCTAGATCTAGAGTATTCATGGTTGAATTTGACCTAAAAAACTTATACACCCACATGCATGCACGAATTTGCTCAAAATTGTTCGAAATTTGGTTGAAATTATCCTCGAAATTAGCTCAAAAATACCCAGTTATGTTCAAATTTGATGAGATGAGAAAAAACAAAGAAAAGAGAAAATGAAAGAAGAAAGGGGCGAATTAGAGGGAAGAGGAAAGAGAGGAAAAACGAGAGTAGAAAGGGCAAAATAAAAGAGGAGAGAGAGAGAGAGTCAGGGTAAGGAAAGAGGAGAAGAGAAATAAAAGAGGAGGGGTAAAGCGTGTTTTAGGGTTTATTTTTAATTGGCAAGCGGTATAGGGTTGAACCGCTTGCCAATATATCTAATGGAAAGTGGTTCAACCCCAAACCGCTTGTCATTATATATATTGGCAAGCGGTTCGCGCCAAAACCGCTTGCCATTTCATATTACAGGTTTTTTTTTTTTAAAAAAAGGGTGAATGGTAAGCGAATTTTTAAAACCGCTTGCCTTTTGAGGCTTCCCATCACTTTTTTTCTACTAGTGCTTGATGCGAATGCTGAATGTGTAAGAACCTGTGGTTAATCTGCTCCCCAATATTACAAGTGTAAAAATTGGATCGTCACAGGGTCATTGAAAGGCGAAGGCCATGACCAAAGAAAGACACACAAAAGCACGCAATCAACAAAGCTAAATACATACGAGCTGCGCAATATAATAAGAAATCTCTAGCATGCTACTAATAATCAATCATCACGCATCATCAAATTATAGACTCAACTCATGACTCAGCTATCAGTTTTACTAAGACTTCACTAGTTAATAGTAGCTAACAACCATGATTTGTCTGCACTAGACAAAGGTGGAGGAGGTTGACTACTCGCAAAAACGGTCCACATAGGCTTTCCAATCCAATACGTCTCAAACTTGTGAACATTACTTTCATGTAATAATACTTAACGAGGACTTTAATTATAGCGTGGAACTACTTGTTCAAGCCCATATTGTCGCATCAAATGGGAAGGGCAATAAAGGTAAACTTTGAAATACTAGGTATATGACAATAAGGAGTATCATTCGTCCCTACCATCCTAGTAAGCTTCCACCAAGGCACCACCAATCGAATGGAAAATTCTCTCTTTGCAAAGAACACCTTCCAATCATCATATGACATATTTGCAGAGTTATTTTTCTTCCTACAATCTGGATCATTGGGACCATATTTTTCAATATTCACTACGTGAAAAAATGTAATTGGCACCGGTTCAAACCCGGCCTAAGGAACCGGTTTGAACCGGTGCCTATGTGGGGGGTGCCAAAAGTGGTTTAATAAGGCACCGGTTCAAACCGGTGCCAAAACTCGGCCATGGCACCGGTTAACCGGTGCCAAAAATGGTGAACAAATTTTTTTTTGTTTTTTTTGGCACCGGTTAACCGTTGCAAAAATTGCCCAAAAATATATAATTTTTTTTTTTTTTTTGTTTTTTCCATCTAAAAATTAAATAGCCTAAAATAAATAACAACAGCAAAACATAAAACCAATATCAATCATCATCAAAATTTGCAATATATGATCAAAAAAATAATACAACATATAAAAACTTCGACTAGAATATAAATAAAAAAAATTACAATATAAATTAACATTCCAAATTACAATATAAATAAAAAAAAAAAACCCATTCATTCTTGTATCTTGCTTCTTCGATTTCAGATCTAGAATTCATACCTGCACCAATTAAAACCAAAAAAAAATTCGATTAATATAATTAAACTTCGAAATCGATCAAAACAATAACCCAAAAAAAAAAAACTTGAAATCGAAAAAAACCCAGAAAAAAAAAACATGAACTCGAAAAAAAACCCAGGGAAAAAACTTTAAATCGAAAAAAAACCCAGAAAAAAAAATTAAACCCAGAAAAAGAAAAAAAAATTGAAATCGAAAAAAAATCCAGAAACAAAAAAACTTGAACTCGAAAAAAAACCCAGAAAAAAAACTTCAAATCGAAAAAAAACCCTGAAAAAAAAATTAAACCCAGAAAACGAAAAAAAATTTGAGATCGAAAAAAAAGCCAAAAAAAAACTTGAACTCGAAAAAAAACCCAAAAAAAAATTGAACTCGAAAAAAAACCCATGAAAAAA